GAAACAAATATTTTAATGACTGTAACAATTCAACAAATAAATACACTAACATCAAGCAATACAGGTATTTTAAGAAACATACTTTTTTTAAAAAAATTTAAAATTAAAAACAAATAATTAGGAAATAAACATCAAAGAAGTAAAATAATAAAAAAATAATAAATCCAAAAATAACGTTAATTTAAATTCCAATATAGAAAGACAAAATGAGTACATGTAAAAATAAATAATTCATAGGTTTTCTAACATATTTCAGTTTTTAGTTTTGAACCACTAGATCTAATTATTTCATATTATTATTAAACTATGCAGCACATGTAAGCATACTTGCTACGGTAAAATGGTTAATGGTCTGAACTTATACAGAGCTTTATATAGACCCCAAAGTGCTTTACAGATATTCACCCATTCACACGCACATTCACACACTGGTGGTGGTAAGCTACATTGTAGCCACAGCTGCTCTGGGGCACACTGACAAAGGGGGAGCTGCCATGCACCGGACCCTCTGACCACATCAGTATATAAGTGGGAGCAGTACTGGACCATAACAAATCTGCTGCCATCAACATTAAAAGCAATTTTAGGCTTTATGTATTCTAAACATTAGGAGTTTTGATGGATAAATATTTTTTTGGTTGGCCATTTGCAATGTACACTAACTATGTTTGAGCATTAATGGCTGTCTGTTTGGACCTAATGTTGCATTAAATGTGTTTAGATCTTGAGACATTTCCATCTTTATTTAGTCCCTTTTATTATTAATTGGTTAACATGCATGTTGTTGCGTTTAATACATAGAAAACTTTTTGCCACTTGCTCTGCGAATTTTTGTAGGTTCAATATCAAAATAATGACATGAGTGTAAAAATAAAAGCTACAAAAGTGAAAAGTGCACTGAAATTAAAAGACGTCTAGAGCTGCTTTGCATTTCAATGGGCTGTGATTGTGGATGACAAATTTTAAATGGCATTTGCAAGAGTTTTCAATTTCAAAATTAGTTAGCTTACCTTTAAAATCGGGCTACTGGTAGTTGGAAATTCKAGTTCCCAAGTTACATGTTGGAAAAAGCCATCGATGTTTGAATTTGAAAAGTTTGGAGTTGACTATATGTCTTGTGTGCAAAAGATTATGATAGTTGCAGCAAAAATGTGTTTATTTTCACTTGCGTGAGTTTGCATGACAATAATCCCAACACACCTATACTTTCCAGTCWTTGTTAGAGAACATGATGATACAAYGCTGCTAATGGTAATGGACGTGTATTTCTAACTGTACAATTAGCAAAGCCTTCTGTTGYTTCAACTTCCTCCTGAAACACAACAAAGCATAGAGCTGTCACATTACATAAAATTATGGTTGGGCTGACTCTTGTAACGAGAATAACAAGAAAACCATCTCATTATAATGTGTTCTGGTTTTATGGTACAGTATGACATCACTTTCACAGACGTTTGATTGCCTTGATGGAATAAAGTCTGCTTGAAAACATCAAGACTGAGCCACTTTATGCATTTTTATGAAGATTTATGTTATGAAAACAAAAAAACAAAACGTTTTTTTAGGGGTTTGTGCTCAGACCTGGTCCGGCATCTTAACATATACTACAGCCGAATGAACTCGTTTAAAATAAATAAATTAATTAAAAAAAACTATTCAAAGCACAAGATTGTATCTTGTTTTCATAAGGAAGCGTTCTCGTTTTTGTAAGAGATAGTTTTCTAGTTATAACAAGGTATTTCCTGTTTTCATACTGTAGTTTTGCATTGTTGCGAGATAGTTTTCTCATTATAATGGTACAGCTCAACAAGAATTTAAGTCATGTGAAAGCTCTACACTGTCGTCGAAACAYAAGTCAGGTCTGATGTCATTAGACCCGAGTTCTGGCCTCCCAGGTAAATGGAATGGAGCATTATAAGATGGAATGTCAGCTAGTTTGGTTGATGTAAAAGATTAATAGAGTTTAGCTTGGTGAGGAAAACACATTTTTTGATATCTRTAAAATAATTGACAGTGAGCATTGCCTAACACCAGACCATACATGTTATATGTTAATATTAAATGCACCCTTTTTATGATATCAAAGGTAACCCTGATATAAATCTCGGGAACAAAARTCCTGACCAGCTCCACGTCCATTCCAGAACCTCTTTAGCTCAGTTGATGATCCATGTGAAATACCCCTGCAGTCATTCCAMAAAGCATATAAATTTCTTTTGTGCTTGCTATAATGCAATTCCCAGGCTGTGTTATTACATGTCCAGCCTCAGCCAGGTTACAATGGTTGTCATGAGCACAATGGGTTTGATACATGTAAGCAACCAGAGTAAGGCTGCTGCTGGAGGCTGGATTTTTTGTTTCTTTCAGTCTGAATCACAGCGGGTTGACAGAAAGACAAAATCAATTACAAGAATGTGCAGTATTCCTGCGGTTACAATAAGTTTGAAAAAGCTGCCTTGTTGTTTGTGACAATCCTTCTGGTTTTGTCCAAATTCCCTGCTGCTGAGAGCATGCTGCATGCACTTTATTGTTTGCACTTTTTTTTTGTAATCATACTTAATCAGATCCTCAGCATTCACAAGCATGCGCTGTTGATTAGAAACCTCAAAAATATTTCAACAGCCAAAAAATACAGTAATTCAGCAATATGAAAATGAGGGTTTAGCTACGCTGAGCACACCTCAAAGAAGCAGGACATGAAAAACAAAAATGACAATTCAAGATACCCTACTTTTGTTGAAAAGTACATGATGAGAAATGTTTAGTAAAAATAGTTGATAAGTTTGTGAGGTAGATTGAAAGTTTTAGTCTGGGGCAGTATTTACCAAAAGAGAGTTGATGATGTCATGCACAAAGCACTAGAAAGGAAATTGAACACATTAACACCATGCGATCTAAAAATGGATACACACAAGTCTCTGTTGCTCGGAGGGTTTTTCTTTCCCAATCTGAATTTGATTTCTCCTTCTTCTTTTTTTATTTCTAAGGCTGCCTGTGATCCTATCAATCATTGTATGGAGTGAGGATGCAGCAAAGCAGAGCGAGCTCACGGTTCTCATACTGATGCTGCTCTTCTTTTTTCTACTTTCTTTCAAGTATCTGTGCTCGTTTCTCTCAGAACTTGGCCCAACACAGGGGAATGGATTTTTGTATGAGGTCAAATGTGAGATATCTGGAACTGAATTATTGATGCAGTTCAGCCTGGCTTCAACAATTGCTTTTCCTCTGTGATAGATTTGAACAAAACTCTGTTATGCTCAGCGCTTCTCCCTTGTACTTTTGATATGATTTGACTTAGTTTGGATGTGATGTTTGAAACTGATCATGTTGGTCTATCCGTAAATACTGTGGATTGCAAAAATATTCACCCCATAGGTCTGTATTTAGTCGTCTTACAGCCTAGAACATTAATGTAATTTTGGAGGGCTCCCATCTTTTAATGTACTATATTTATGTGTGCATAGTGTGATCTTGAGTATAATGCGACCCCCATTTCTTGAGCTTAAAAAGTGTTGAAAAATCTAATCCTCATGGATAATGCTACTCCTAATTTCATACAGGCTTCAGAATTTTTCAGTTATTTTTATATCAATAAAGTGATGATTGTGGTATCAGATTTTTAATTTTACTATACTTGGTAGCAGCAAAATAGAAAAACTGAATGTAGAAGAAGAAGAAGAAGAAGAAGAAGAAGAAGAAGAAGAAGAAGAAGAAGAAGAAGAAGAAGAAGAAGAAGAAGAAGAAGAACAACAACAACAACAACAACAACAACAACAACAACAACAACAACAACAACAACAACAACAACAACAACAAGAGTTCAAGCAGATGACTTTGCAGACAGTCAACCAGAGGGCGCCATCACAAATCTATCACACAACTTTACACAAAATTGTAAGGATCTGTGTTTTTCTTGTTTCATTTGTTTATGTCTAGTGTTTTCTCTGTGCCTGCCTCTGTGTTCCTCTGTCTCTCCCCAGGTGCTCTCAATTGTCTCCTCATTTACTCAGCGTTATATTCTGTGTCCTGTGTTCACTTCCTGTCGGTTCATTGTGCTTCTTACAGCCGGCTTGGTTTGTCTTCTCGTGGTTTGTCCTTCACGTGTTCCCGTTTCTCTTAGTAAGTTTGTTGGCCCTGTCAACATTTTTCTTTGTTAAATAAATCTTTGTTATTTGGACTCCTGAGTTTTTGCTTGTTCCCAGGGTTTGTTTTTTTTTACACACAAACCTAACAGATTTGCATAAAAAACTACTTTATTTTGGGGATACCTAGTGGAAATTCTGGTCATGCATTGTCGTGGTTCTCAACCTAGCTTTTGAATCTCACATCAAGTAAAAGTAGACTCTTTCACAGTGTCTCCCCATTTCATGGGGTGCACCCCAGGGTTCAGTTCTTGGTCTGACACTTTTCTCTACATATATAAATGATGTTTTGTAAGTTGTTGTAAATAAAACTTCTGCCCACCTATATAYTGATGCTATTCTGTATGCCGGGGGTGTCAAACTCATTGTCACATGGGYCAATTTTAATTAASTTTKATGCTTTGTGTTCACCTTCAACTATACACATGAATCACAACAAAAACTGAGCTCCACGAGGTATTTTGTGCATATAAATGCATACTCTTATAAACACTGAAAAGTACCACTAAATGTGAAATTAATACAAACAGAAATGCTATTTAAAGTAAAAATGAAAGATTTTTACCCACTGCTGTGTTGTGGTGAGTAGCTGCTGTAGATAATGAGGGGTATCTCATTAAAATCACGACCATGATTTTAAATAAGAGCAATCTGTGAGTTCTTGAAGCCCCAAGTTGTTCAAAATAGTTCAGTCATCAAAATACACACAAAAAACACACAACAAGATGTAATTTTATTTTGGCCAGTTAAGGACTAACTTATTAGGAGGATCATATTGAGTGATTAATGAGTGATTACAATGGTTAAACAATAAATGAGCTCTCAGTATAACACAATAAATTTTCTACTTTTCTAACAGGTGAACAAACTAATTAAGCAGTTTGTCTAACAATTTTAACTAAGTAAAAGCAGGTTATTTTATATACATTCAGGGTTCTGTGTGTGTGCTTGTGTGAGACCAAGACAGAGAGAGAGAGAGAGAGAGAGAGAGAGAGAGAGAGAGAGAGAGAGAGAGAGAGAGAGGAGGCAAAGGAAAGTGGGACAAACAAACAAAAAACAAATCTTAGCTAAGGTTATGATCTTTAAATTGTATACTTTAAAGCTGCGAGCTAAGATGAGCACATCATCTGAGGGTAAACTCAGTTTTACCATGTCAGGGCCAACCAGACAAGGGGAGTCGACAAGACGCCAGCTTAGGGGTGTCAGCCTGGATGAACAGCCGACACCGTGGCCTTTCTTTGTCGGTCGAATGGATGTAGGCCTTTGGACTCGGTGCAGTCAGCAGCGTGACAGGACGGCTCAAAACCGGGTCTCGTCCGGGCGGCAGCTTTGGAAAAACTCACAACAAGGTGGCTCCAGAAGTTGGTTTGAGCTCAGGGGCGGCTCAAACAAAAGTTGTAACCCCAATCAGGAGAGATATTTCCTTGTAATTTCGAAAAGAATAAATTGCTGCGACAAAAAAGAAAGAAGCTGGAAGCTCTGTTTTTCCAGCACAGAAAAGCAAGAAAGCTGGAGACCTTCGTGGCGTCTTGACCCAGCAAAACAAAAACAACAGACTGATTCCAACGGAGCAAAGAAGAGTTTTTAGAGTATTAGATTGAGAACAGCGAGGCTTTGTTCTCAGGACAGAGGAGATGAGAATGTGGGAGTGAGTTGTGTTTATCTGCAGGTGTGGAGGTTCTTGTGAGAACATGTGTGTTCTTTGTATGGAAGACCCCAAAAATCAAAACATCGTCAAAAAGTAACACACAAACATTTTATGAGCAGAAGTAACTAAACTCTTAAAATCAGCATATTAATATTCTAATTAATTAACTAATGGTTAATTATGAACATTGACTAAATAGACTATTAAGAACGACTGAGCAATGCTTGTCAAAATAGAAGAAATAAAAGCATAAATATATAAGCATTAACTAAAACATATATTCCGTTTTCATTAACTCAGATAAAGTCTAAGCATGACCAGAGACAACAAATGTAGAATTATTATAAGCTAAATTAGAGAACCCTTAAAAATAAATACAAAAAGTCAAACATATGAAATGGTTGAAACATTGGAATTAAACATATTGAGAAAACGACAACAGAAGGTTTGTTTTATTTTATTTTGTTTTTAACAAACACAGCAAATCTCTATGAGAATTGGAACCATGTTGCTTTCCCAGGGGAAAGGAGAGGCAAAGCTTTTCTTTTTTTTAAAGCTCTCAGCAGAGCTGAAATTATTAAGTCTGGGGAGAGGAGAGGTTTGACCTCAGGTGGTCAAAGATCAACCAGTGGTGAGGTGAGGTGAAGTGAGGGGTTTCCCTGTACTGCCATCTTTAAAACTGAACTTTCCCACTTTGTGACAGTGAATTCCCAGTGGAGGTGCATTCTAGTATAAATTTACAACTTATAAGTGGGAATTTCCAACTTCCCAGCATTACTGGGCTGCAATAAAAATAACCAGAGAATTTTCAGTGAAATGAAGATTTTACACAGTGAATCTTGCCAGCTGCTGACTACCAGCTTCTGCTACTTTTGAACCCTGTGCACTTCCATCTAGTGATGTGATGCCAAAATTTCATAAAATTTCCTTGGCAGGCCTTATTTGGCCTGCAGAACTTGAGTTTGACACGTGCTGTATGCCATCTGCTCTAAAGCAGACACAATTATAAAGTCCCTCACATAGGGTTGTTACCCCTAATTTACACTACTTGTGTTCCATCTCCGCTGCGCAGGTCGCAGCTGTGCATTTCAAGTCCAGTTTACACTACCTCCGCTCCGGTCCAACAGACGTGCAGGAAGGAGATCGCGCGATAAATTCAGTGATAAATGTGGAAGTCACAGCAAAAAATAATTAATTCTGTGAAAGAAGAACTCCAAACACAGCTGAAAACAATGATAGAAAGGCTTTTGGTATCTAAGTTGAAACTGTCTCGCTGTCGGCTTTCTGAAACTTCTGATTTCAAAATAAAATCCA